TTCTGTGGGTTGCTAATGTCTCAACACGCCCTCTACTGTTTTAAATCACTCTGGATCCTTTCAGCCCAATGCTGACATACTGACGTCTACTCTACAGCCCACTTCCCCTAGCGTCTGCTTTTAGTGGGAGTCTGTGAAACCACTGCACTTATTTTCAAATGTAAACTGATCAAGAAGCATCATTCGCAGGAGTTTATGTGTTTATGAAAACTCATGACACTAAAGAAAAAACAAAAATTGATTCCATACAAAATGATAAAACAAGGCCATCAGGTTTTTTCGATGGGGAAATAGGACAAGTATGCCGACAGTTCGCAACATACATCTTCTCTGTATTAGTGACTGATTATTCCAGACTAATTACCACATTATGGTCTGAGCTACCACTGAATGAAAATAGTTTATCACCAATGTAAATCAATAATGAACTTATGTGAAGTGTCTTTGATTTCCTAGAAAAGCACTCTATAAATAAATTGTAATATTATTATTTATTATCAACATTACCTCTAACGATCAAAGTAATAGTTTCAAATATTATTTTCAGTCAAATTAACGTAAAAACGGAGGTGAGAGGGGGAACTAAAGGCTATTGTTTGTCCATCTTTAATTAAAAGTAGATTAAAGAATGTAGGTGAATATTAGTATCACAGATGGAGCGGCCAGTATCAGCAGCTCGTTGGTATATTTTACTGCGAAGCAGAAGAGGAAACTGCAGAGCTCAGGAAGCACGTCAGAATGAAGAAAAGGTTTCTATCTTAGTGTTTGTCTCTGGCTGTGTCTAAAACCATCCAGTCAAAAGAGATGCAATGCATTATGGGGGGTTGGGTATGTGCAGTAGACCGTATACTCAGACATTTTTGCTTATCTAGTATATTTCTGGGCATTTCTTGCATACATAAAAGTTGAAACACACTACATACTTAATTTGTAGTCATACTTAGTATGAATAGTATGTTAGTGCTCAGTACTGTAGTATATGTGAAGAGATGTGCAATATATCCAGGAATCTCCTCCCCATGGCTGGTAGTTGCTTTAACAGACAGATCACTTCCTTATTTGCCGCATGTCAGAATGGAGCCCAGTTCGTATGTGTGTGCTGTTTTACTGGTGTATCTGTGTCAACTGCAAGGTAAAACACACTTTTTCTATTTAATTAATATTCCCTCTTTTGCCTCTTTTTATTTTAAAAATCTGAAGTATAGGAGAAGAGGGATCAGAGGGTGAGGATAATTGACCGTTATCATCTCAACTGGTGTAATTACTTGGCTCATAACTACAAAACAACTGCAAACATTACCTCCCGGGGATCAATAAAGTGTTTCTGATTCAATCAATAGCATATGATAAATTAAGCAGTCTCAGTAAGCTAGATCAAGTGGATTTTCCAATGGTAGTCTTTTTTAATTTTTTTGCTTTTAATTGATAATGACAGCTGAAGAGTGACAGAAAAGTGGGGAGAGGGAGAGTCTTTTTGTCTCTTTGTATGAAGTTTTGCCCTTGTGTTACTTCCGCTTCCCTGAAGTTTGGAAATTATTGAACAGAGCATTTTTTACATAAACGTTACACCAGAAGGGGATTTCCTCACAGCCAATGTGAACAGGAATGATTACAGTTAAGATACGTTTGAAAAAAATGCAATGTGTATCCTAGGTATGTGTCTTTAACATAAAAAGATTAGATTAGAAACAAAATACAAAGCAGTTTAAACCTTGCTGTACTGTATATGATGGATTACAGTACATCTTGTAAGATTGAAACCTCCTTATAACCAAGTGAGATACACAAACAAAGAATTAGGCTACAGTAATTCCAGCAGTTATTGAAATGAAACATACAATGCAAACTGATATTACATTGTAATGTGGAAGAAGAGAGACTCTCATTGTCCATATTTGTAGAAGTGCTGCTGCAACCCCTGCTAACCCACTTCCTTTGTTGTTTGAT